CCATTCATGCCACATAGATCCACTTGAATGCATGAGTTCATCTCACCAAGGAACAGCTCCTTCAGGGAGAACTTATAAAAGAGAGAGCAATGATTTACACACACATCCCACCATTGTAACTGGCCTCAGGACTGCAAATATTACTTATTATTTCTGTCCTCCACAATCCATTCTAGATATCTCTCAGTCAAAATATATGAAGGTCTCTTATTAGGTGCATAAATGTTTGTAACTGTTAGATATTCACACAATATTGAAACTTTTGTTAACATATAATGTTCTGTTTTGTCTCTTATAAACTTTTTGATTTCAAGTCTATTTTGTCTAATACTGGTATAACCAACCCAGACCCCCTTTGATTACCATTTGCATGGAATATGTTTTTCTGTCCTTTCATTTTCAATATATTTATGGTTTGCTTCTAAAGTGAGCACTGTGATTATATCAACCCATTTTATTTTTACCCTTGTGTCTTTCTCACATTCTTATAGTTTGTCATGATGTGTTTCTCTTGAAAGGCACTTCACAGGTGAAAAGCAGAAGAAGTTTGTAAGCCGGACTGATTTTGTTTTAAAAATCTGAAGTCCATAGGGATGAGAAGGGTCCCTGGAAGAGGTAATGAGAGAAGAGGAAAGATGCTAAGCATTTGGGAAAAGTAGAAAATGAGGGAGGTTCTGGGTGTTATGGGGGAGAAGGCTCCAGTAGCACCCTGGGGAAGCAGCAGACCCATCAAGGAGTGGCTGCATAAAGAGTCGATCAGTCAGACTGGAAGCCCCAGATTCCAGTGCCTCATGTGGTGAATGGCAAGGTGGTAGCAACCAAATGTGTACAGGGTCAATATTAACAGATAACTGATAATCAGTTATCTTGTTCTTATCCCACCACTGTGACATTGCATCTTGCATATGCCGGTGGGATCTAGATTATTCCAGAAGGGAAGGATTATAGAACTAATTCCCCAAACTAACTGGCTTATGAGCTAGAGGAAAGGGAACTTAAAGTTATGTTGACCTGTAGAAGATAAAACTGTGAGACGACATCTGCAGTTGTATACTGTTGCATCTGTTTTATGCTTACTTTTTAAAATTTCACCTGTCTACATAAATTGTTACCACACTGCTTGGTATTTACTATGTGCTAAATAAATGGTTGCTGAATTAATGGAATCTTATTTTAAAGCCCTTGATGATGCCAAACTGTATTTCTAGTAGCTATCTAGTATGAATTATTTTATAATTTCACCACTGATTAGTATGTTTCCATTTAAATGTGCTCTCACTAGCCTTGACAATAAGCACACTTTAGTTTTTGATCTTATGAAAATAAAAGCTGATATTTCACTTTAGTTTGTATGTCTTTAATTTCCAGTGGGTTTGTACAGTTTTTCATAAATTTATTAGCCATGTAGCTTTTTTCTCTTAAAAATGATTTATTCTGGCTTTTACCCATTTTTCAATTGAATTATTTGTTATCTTTTTTCTTTTTTGGTAGGTATTTATGAGAATTAAAAGTACACTTGGAAATTTGCTTATTTTGTCATTTGTTCTTTCGTTTTGACATCTTATAATATTTTGAAATTTTACATATTCCTTGATTAAAGCTTTGAATACAGAAACTTACAAAGAAGAAAGTAACAATCACTCAAAAGTCAATCATTAAAAAGCTAACAATCACTCACAAGTCCATTAAAAGTTAACTTTTTTTATTTTGGTGAATATTTTTCTAGTTTTATCCAATACATTGTTAGAGTTTTGCCCAACATTGGCTTTATTTATTATTTTTTTTATTAATAGACTTTACTTTTTAGAGCAGTTTCAGGTTCACAGCAGAACTGAGCAGAAAATACAAGAGAGTTCGCACATAGCCCTCCCCACCCACACGTATATACTCCCTTACCCTCAACATCCCCCATCAGTGTGGCATATTTGGTACAATCAATGAACCAACATGGGTACGTTGTTATCAACCAAAGTCTGTAGATTACGTTAGGGTTCACTCTTGATGTTGTACATTCTATGGATTTTGACAAATGCATAATGACATGAAGCCACCACTATAGTATCATACAGAATAATTTCATTGCCCTAAAAATCCCTTGTGCCCAACATAGGCTTTAAATAAGTACTATTCAACCCACCTGTCTTTAAATTTCTGGCATTTGCTTAACTATTCCGAATATTTTTTATTCCAAGATTTTGTAGCCAAGTTTTCTATTGAAAATTATGGCTTATTGATTCCATTTAACTTTTTATTAAAGTAGAAATTTTTGGTTTAGCATATGAAATTACATTATTAGTCATTTATTTTTATATAGTTACACTATTTGTTGCATAATTCTTTATTTTGCGCACATTTATGTTGCCAAAATTATAAAATGTTACAACTATGGTCTGTTTCTGGACTTCCTTTGATATGCAAATACATCTGCTACAACTGCTTTGACTATTGCAACTATAATAAAGTCCAGCAAATGCTACTCCATAGACTAGCCAGCTACCCCCACTACATTATCCTCTTTTTTTGAATCATCTTGTTTATTATTAAATTCTAATTATTATTATTTAAAAAATTATCACTTTTTTTTCTTGGGGTCAGGTTTACTTATGTATTTCAATGGAGGTACCAGAAATTGAACCCAGGACCTCATGCATGATAAACAAATTCTTTACCATTGAGCTATACCCCAGGAATTATTAAATTCTAGATAATTGGTAACCATTTTTTAAATTCTTCGAAAAATATGTGGTTTTTCAATATAATTATTACATCATTCTACCAATTAATTGGGGAAAGATTCGTTATTTTTAGTACTATTGAAACTTTCTATCCAGAAACATGCTAGTTATCAACAGTTACACAAATATTCAAAGTCCTTTAAAATATTGTGGTTTTCTTCACATTTCTTACTATGACTATTCATAGGTGCTTTATACTTAGTAATTTAGTACCATAATGGTAAAAAAATCTGTTTTTGCATTATGTACTTTTATTTATTTATTTTATAAAATTTCCTGGCATCTAAGCATTATCTCATTCTTTTCTTTTCTTTTGCTCTTGAATCAGCAGTTAGTTACTGGAATTCCTTAAAACTGTGTCACTTTCATGAAGGTACCTTCTTGCTTTGCTTTTCTTGAAACTTTTCTCCTGGAAAACGTACAATGAAACCAACCAACAAATAAACACAATAAAAAGGCATTAAATAAGCATATATGTCCTGCATTTTTTTAGAGTAAGCTTATCCTTTGCCAACCAGCTTTGGTATAAATCATAACCCTTGCTCCAAGGGTTGGAGTAAACCTTGTGAAGAAAAAGATCAAACTCCAAGAGCAAAATTTGGAAAGGCAGCTCTGATAGTTTCTACTTTTTACTTTTGGACACCAGGCAGAGGGAACACAGAAAGTTATAGAATCCTTTCCCAATCTTCATTTTAAACTCGCAGTATTAATTCCTCTTTTTATCTCTTTTCTTAACATTTCATTTCCAGGGGAAAACTATATGATCTGAATCTCATGGGCAACCCAGCAGGCCTCCCTCCCCTGAGATACATTGTCATCTGTTGTAGAGACTCTTGTCCTTTCCCTGGTCTCCCCAAGATTCTCCATTGACCAGGGCTGTCCTCAGGCCTTGTTGTGATTAATTTTATATGATCACTTGGCTAGTCTGTGCTGCCCAGATGTTTGGTCAAACACCAGGCTTGATGTTTTGTGAAGGTATGTTTTTAGATGTTATTAACATTTAAATCAGTGGACTTTGAGTAAAGCACATTACCCTCCATAATGTGGGTGGGCCTCATCCAATCAGTTAAAGACCTGAAGGGAAAACAGTCCTTAGTGGAAGAAGAAATTCAGCCTTCAGACTTCTCTTTTCCTTTAACTTTTCCTTGGGTCTCCAGGCTCAACACAGATTTCAGGCTTGCCAGCCTCTACAGTCTTGTGAGCCGCTTCCTTAAAATCAGCCCCTCTCGGTATATATTTACATCCTACTGATTCTGCTTGTCTGGAGAATAAGAATTAGATTTATACAGACCTACAGGTACCAGCAGCCAGAGAGCTTACTGCCCTCACTAGGCTGAGGGCTGCAGGGCCTGAGGGACAAGAATCTGGTGTTTGGATCTGTGCATGTGTGTCAACCCTTCAGAAGTGTGTATGTCAC